GCCACATGCCTGAGGAAGGCCACGTCTGAGCGGAGTTCAAGCTGCTTAAGCAGCTCCAGGCCTAGAACAGAAGGAACACAGCTAACTTGGCCAACACTGAAAACACTGCTTCTGTGGTTCCTGGGTGTGAAGAGCCCATTTTCCCTTCTCCCAGCTCCAACAAATCCAGAATCTAAGTGCCACAAAACTTGACTGTACTAGGTGCCAGGTATTGTGCACAGCCCTGGGAATACAAAGGGAAGTACAACAATGCCCTTGCTCTCAGACTGGCTTAGCAGACAGGGCATCACAGAAGGGCACCCTCTCCCGGCCCAGCTCTCTGTGCCAGGAATCACCTCTATTCAGCACACTGCTATTATGATGACTGTTTATAAGTTAGTCTCCCCCATACCTTACTTCTGAATGAGCTTATTATAAGAGAACCTCTTAGCCATCCTGGTTTCTGTACGCCTAGCACACTGCTCCAGTGCGGGTGGGGGTGGAAGTATGTATATGTGATGCTCTTAACTTTCCAGATAGAGGCCTTGAAACTGTGGAAAGAACTGACATGTTATAAGAAGCGGAGGAAAGAAAGTGTGAAGGCCTGCCACAGCCACCTTTTAATTGCCTTCTCTGTTTCTGGGACTGCTGTTCACCTGGCTTTGTAACCTGTCCTCCCTGGAAGGTTCTAGGCACCGTACAATTCACACCTCCAGACCCTGGACCCATCCACAGGGACCATCCTTTATCCCAAACAGGCCCCACTCAACAAGACCTCATCTTCCAAAAGGCTATCATTCAGTGCTTTGCTCCTTTCTAATAATTCAAGCAGACCCCAAACACAATGGGCTGCCTCGAGAAGCACATTCTACCAGTTCTGGCTGGCTGACAAGTGCTAAGTGGAGGCGAGACATAAAAGCCACTGTGATTTTCCCACTACACCTGAAATAAAACCCAGATTCCTTCCCGAGGCTTGTCATCCCCATGTGATCCTGGTTCCAGACTCTCTCCACTCCACTGGGGACTCTCAGTCCTCAGCTCTGCTTTCTTCCTGCCGTTTCCCACCCTGGGGCTTCTGAAGGTGCTGTGCCCTCTCCACCTGGCTTCCCACAGCTTTCCATCCCTTTACTTACAGTTTTTCTCACAACTTATTTTTGTTGTTATTTTCTCTCACACCATTAGCTTGAGAACAGTGACTATGTCAGCACCCAGCTCTGCGCCCCATACATAGTATCTAGCAAATATTTGCCAGATTAATTAAAAAAGGGGGCGGGGATCCTCTGTCTCCACTCAGCTTCCACACTAACCTTTTTACTGGATCATTTCCAAATCAAATGACACCATCTCTTCATTACCCAGTCTTATTTCCCACAACTCATTCTCCATTACCGACCCCCTCCCCAATTTCCCATCTTCATAAACACCACTGATTCATTCAGTTGTCCATTATTCACGAATCCTGTGTGTACCCACCTCTCAGCCCTTACACCCCTCATCTCCAAAACTCTTCCCCCTTATATTCCATAACCCTTGAAACCACTTTTCACCATAAACCTCTCCATCCACAAACTCTCCTTAAACCCATCCCTCTCACCTCAGGACGAGCTCCTAAAATCCATCCCTCAACTGCTTAGTTCCATAAGCCCCCTTTCAATCCGTTCCACTTTAACCCGTCACGTCCCTTCCTCCTCAGAATCCCGCTTCAGTCCTCCTTAAGCCTCCCCCTCCCATGCGCCCTGCCCTCCCTCTCTTCGCCCAGAGACTCACCACATCTCTCACCTTGCACCTTCCTCACCCCTCACGACCCCAGCTGCCCCGGTCCTGGCCCCTCAGCCCGCCCCCTTCAGTGAAGCGACTTTGGAAGGCCCCCCCACCGAATCCGCGCCAGCACCTGGCCTGCGCTTCGTCCAGGCTCTGGTCGGTGATGGCCATGATCTGCTGCAGGACGTCGCCTGTGCTGGAGCCCGGTGGGGGCCCGGTCGGCGAGCGGCGCGGGGCAGGCGGTGGCGGCGCGGGACGCGGCGGGCAAACCAGGAGCCGGCGAGCCTGCAGAGCTCGCGCGGACGTCGTAGCCAACTGCTGCCGTCGGTGCGCACCGCGCGCGCACCCCGGAGCCCCGCCCCTCGCCGCCGCCTACGGCCAACCGCCGCCAGCTAGGCGGTGACGCCCCGCCCAGGGACACGCCCTACTATCTCCGCCAGCCAACCACCGCCGCCCAAGCAGCCAGGCCCCGCCCACAGACATGCCCCCTACCAGCCCCTCTCAACGGCCTAGGACTCTTTTGGAGGTTGCTGAGGCAACGGCGCTTTCAATTTTAACCCCCCGCCTCTTCCCTGCTGGCCCAGACTGTGAAGAATCCGCCTGCAATGCGGAAGACCTGGGTTCGATCCCTGGGTTGGGAAGATCCCCTGGAGTAGGGTATGGGGACCCACTCCAGTGTTCTTGCCTGGAGAATCCCCTGGACAGAGAAGCCTGGCGGGGTACAGTCCATGGGATCGGACTGAGCGACTAAGCACACATTCTTCCAGCCTGAGAGGGCGACGCCGGTTTTGCTCTGCTTCGGAGACTCCCACCTCTCACATCTCTGCCTTCCGCATTTCCTCAGAGCGACCGCTCCTGCTCAGAGACACTTTACTTCTCCTCAGAGCCAGAGCCCACCCCCCTCCCCATTTCATAGGCTCCCATGTCTCAGAGCATCCCTCAGGAAACTACACACCTCAGATCCTAACTTCTCAGACACTGCACTCTTCCTTAAAGCCACCCTTTCTTTTCAGACCTTCCCTTGCCTTTCAGAACCCCATCAACACCCCCCCCCCCCAATCTCCAGAAACCCTGAGCCCCAGACCCCTGCGCAGTGAGCTCAGCCTAGCGTCCCATCAGGTAGGTCACCGGGGCTTCCAGCCTCCTGGCTCCCCCTGCTGCACCTCTAGTGTTCATGGGTGGCACAGGAATATGAGGGGATGGTGGCTGGGAAGTTAAAACTGAGTGATTTTCTCAGTTGCAGAATCCAGTTCACCTTTCAAGATTCAGCTTAAGAGTGACCTTGCTTGTTTATTCATTCTTTCACTCTACAACATTCTGCCAGCACTGGAAGGATGCTTTCTGAGGACCTACCCTGTGATGCATCCCCGAATCAGAGTGAATCTTCACAGGCCTTTGTTTCCAGCTGTTAGGACTCCCACCATCAGAGGAGTCTTGTGTGAGAGAAAAGGATTTATTATTGGACATAAATCACTTCTCCAAAGTCATGGAACCTCCCAGAGCCTGTTTGCTTTGGGGACAGATTTCTGACACAGGCTCAGAAAGGAACCTCAACTTCCTGGGAACATTTCAGAATCTTCTTCCCACTGCTGTTGGAGAGGAAATGCAAACACCATCTAATGTGAAAACCCCAACATGGCCCCAGTTAACAGGAAGTACTAGAACATGTGGGGACCATGTAAATGTCAGACTAGCATGGTCAGTGACCACACAAAAGACCTGAAAAGTGGTCAGTATTGAGTACCGTCTGATACAAAAAAAAAACCTGAAGTCACCTGGTAGAAAGGAGAGAACCTACAGGGGAGGGGAAAACTGATGGCAAAAGATCCCAAAGGAGACCAGAATTGTGTGGGTTAGAACCTGGAAGGTGCTGATGCAACAGCAGCCAGCTCAGAGCACATGAAACAGAGCTGCCTTTGGAGACCACTGTGGGGGGGGTGGGGTGGTTCCCACCCCACAGGAATTGATTGACTGCCTCTGCATCTGAAACAAATACTCCTGTCCAACAGGCATGGAGCTCCATGGAGACAAGGACTGTGTACTCATCTGTGTGGTAGAAGATGCTGGCCAAGGTCATCACTTCTGGCAATTCAGGGCTCAAGGAACCACGCTTCCCACCTTGGACCATGGGATACCTAGCATCCCAGTTTATTCATGCCTCCTCACAGAGCTGTTGTAGGGCTGGGAGAGTTTCCCAAAGGGAAACCCAGCCCCATGCAATGTAGAAAGACCTACATGTTTTTGGCTCTTTGGCAATGCATGTGTTAGTAGTTTAAGAATTTGGTCTCTGATGGGAGGCCTGGGTTCAAATTCTGGCTAGGTGTGGAAGCAGAGAATCTAGATCCTGGTTCACTCTGTGCTTAGCAGATTGCCTCTATGAGCATCTGAGAAGGGGTTCATCATGGGTCTGGCACATCTGAGACCATAGGGTGAAGTGGGGAAAGCTGGGCTGAGCTTGTGATTAATTCTGGACTTTATGGAAAACTGAAGTCCTTTCTTCAGGGGCCTCTCTAGCCCCCTTTGTGTCCTTCTGAAGCTATGTAACCATGCACCAAATCTCAGTCTTTTAGGGCCACTGTCCTCACATGAAAAATATAATACCTTTGCCACAAGAAGAAGGTGGCGATTAATGTATGTAAAGTACCCTGATGCTGGGAAATAGAGGGCAGGAGGAGAAGGGGGGACAGAGGATGAGATGGTTGGATGGCATCACCAATTCAATGGACATGAGTTTGAGCAAGCTCTGGGAGTTGGTGATGGACAGGGAAGCCTTAACGTGTTGCAGTCCATGGGGTCACAAAGAACAAAGTACATATCTGTGTGCCAGGCATAGCAGAGGAGCTTGAGAAATGGCAACTTGAAAATCCTGCATGCTGATCCGTGGACCCCACAACCTCAAGCCCATCTATTATAGGTAGGTGATAGAGTGGGCAATGGGATAGACACACCTGACTATTAACAACCTGGACTCAGACAAAAGGGCAAGCAGGAGGCTTACACAGGCCAGGAACCACTCTGGGCTCCAGAGGCTGGGAACAGAGAGGCAGGTGGCAAGATGAAGGCAGGGGAACAGATGGAGGAGGCAGAGCACAAAAGGAAATGAGAGATGGAACAAAAGCCATACAGAGACCAAGGGGGGGGTGAGAACAGGGCCGAGGAGATGCCACGGTGAAGGATCCCAGCTCAGTCTGAGCCAAGGTGGACAATTCTGGGACACAGGGACAGACAGACCAAGCTGATAACAGAAGAGGCTTTGGAGATCTCAGAGTAGAAAAGTTTACTCCTTAAATCACGCCCTCCTTGTAGACCGCCTCAGTTCTCACGGGGACAGGCAAGACCCCTGAAGGCTGCAAGGGGTCATAGACCTTTCCCAGCTCACACTCAGCACTCCTGTCTGTGCCCCTAAACAGTCAGCCTCAGGCAGACGAGGCACCCATAGTCTGTCCGTGTTACCCTGCTTCCCTGGGCTGCATGGCCCGAGAGTCCTCATCTCTCTCATCTTTATCATCCATGCCACCACAGACAAGAAAGCAGTCCACAGGGGTTACCAGGCATGTGCAGAAAAAAAAAATGTTAAAAAGCCCCCCAACCTTCAGAGCCCGATTCTTGCACCCCATTCAACTCTCTCCTAGTTGGATAGATGACCCTATCCCACAAGCTCAAAGACAGACACAGCTGCGTGCCTGGGTAGGGCTGGCAGTGGTCCATGCCATGTCAGACTGACGGTCTGCCTTTAAGTCTGGCCCGCAGACGGGGTAGAGCCAGGCACATCCACAGTGGCCCGGGGCAGCGATGTGGCATTTGCTGTACCCTGCTGAAGTTCAAGCTTAGCTAAAGGGTGGAGTCCATCAGGGAATGGCCGTTCTCAGGAAGCATGATGCGAGTGCTGGTGCCCATGTGGGTGGCGGTTGTGTAGCGAACAGACTCGTGGGTAGACGGGCGGAGGCACCAACAGCATAGAAGACGGCGGAAGGTGCGGCGCATCTCAGCATCACGGCACGAGTACACCACGGCATTGACCAGCGAGTTGGCCTCGGCTAAGAGTAGGAAGTACTTCTCCACTGCCAGGACATTGCAGGACTTGCAGCCCAGACCATCCAGGAGCAGCACCACCTGGCCCGGTGTCCAGCAGACCACAAATGCCCCTGTGGGACAGAGCCTGATGTGAGCAGGGCCAGCTGTTGCAACCGCTCAAAGCTGGAGGGAATCTCTAGATCTTGGGCGACAGCTGAGCAGTTTGCAAGGAAGGGCTGCCTGTCTTGCTGCCTTTGCAGCATGATGGGCAGAACGGCTAAGAAGGGGAACCTTTCTCTGATTTGTCTGCCTTTCCTAACTTTACACGGTGGATAGGTGGGAGTAGGAAATGGCAACCAGCTCCAATATTCTTGCCTGGAAACTCCCATGGACAGTGGAGCCTGGCAGGCTACAGTCCATGGAGTCGAAAAGAGTCGGACATGACTGAGCAGGCACGCACACAGTGGACAGGACCCTGGACATTGAAGATTCTTTGGTGGAAAGGAGGTCACTGTAGGACTGGCCAGTTAGTTGGTGGGGGAAAAGGAATGATTGGGAAGAGTTGCCCTGTTTCTTCGGGGTGGTGTGTGTCCTCAACCCAGACCATTCTATATTTAAGAGCCGAACTGACCTCATTACTCCTGGCTAAGAACCCTTAAATTCCCACGGAACTCAGAACAAGCTATGACTCCTGTCTGTACCCTTGAAGGCTGTGCTGACCTCTCCTCACAGAACAGCTACATGGGCCTTCTTCTCTCTTTGGGCTGGGGCCTTCTTCTCTCTTTGGGCTGGTCCTGTTGGAGCTCTTGCTTTTTTTTTTTTTGAGCTCTTGCTTTCTGTTCCCTCTGCTTGGAACTCTTCCCTGGTCTCATCTCAGGTATCACCTCCCTGGAGAACACTCCCCATTCAAGTCGTCCCCTCCCATCACGCTCGATCAGACTGGCAGTCGGGAAGCAGGGTACCACTCACCTAGGATGATGACAACAGTCTTGACCAGGTTCAGCGTTGTTTCACGGTAGCGGGGGTAGCAGCTGACATGCTCAGCCATGCGCTGCACTCGCCGCCTCACATAGAAGAAGATGCGGGTGTAGACGGCCACCATGAGCAGGAAGACGAGGAGACTGGACAGCGCCCAGACGGTGAGGTAGGAGCGGCTGAGCAGGGGGGCCATGCGAGAGCAGCGGTCCAGGGCACAGAGGCAGTGCCAGAAGTGGGCGGGCAGCAGCCCCAGCCCCAGCGCGGCCACCCACACGACCACGATCAGCATGATGACCCGGCCTGGGGGCAGGCGGCTGTGCAGCTGCACGGCCATCACACTGCAGTGCCGCTCCACGGCAATGGCCAGAAGTGTGGCCACGGAGGCCGTCAGGCTCGTGTCCAACAGGCCCTGCCGCACGAACCAGCCCCGGAGTGACAGCCGAGCTGTGCGTGGGCCTGTGTGGAACATGAGGAAGAGGTAGGCCACACCGGCGAAGAGGTCAGCTGCGGCCAGGTTGCCAAGCAGGTAGTAAATGGGTTGGTGGAAGCGGCGATTGGAGGCGATGGCTGCGATGATCAGCAGGTTGGTCAGAAGAACCAGCACGCTGACAGTCAGGCCCAGCGCCACCACAACCAGATCTTTGGGCCGCCAATGGGAGCTGAGCTCCTTGCCACTGTTGTTGTAGAAGAAGCCGATGGTCTCATTGTAGTAGCACTGGCCCATGGTGACAATCTGGGGGCGGAGAGGGAGAAGTCAGTACCGGCAGTCCTTGGTGGAAGGACACAGAGGGGAGCAGCAGCCAGAGGGAGGGTTAAGCCAGGAAGGGCAAGTGTCTCAAATACAGACGAAAGTGAAAGTGAAAGTCGCTCAGTCATGTCCAACTCTTTGAGACTCCATGGACTGTATAGTCCACGGAACTCTCCAGGCCAGACTACTGGAGGTGGGTAGCCTTTCCCTTCTGCAGGGGATCTTCCCAACCCAGGGATGGAACCCAGGTCTCCTGCATTGCAGGCCGATTCTTTACCAGACATCTGACCACCAGGGAAGATGCCTCATGGCAAAGTGGCATTGGTGGGGACAGGGCTGACCTGCAAAAGCAAGCTCCATGAGTTGGGGGGGTGGGCAGCTGTTGCTTAATTACGAATAAGCCTCTTGTAAAGATATCCCCTGAATCAAATGACTGGGCGGTTTTGTTTTTCACAGAAAAAAGCAAAACAAAACTCATTTGCCCACCGGGGGCCAATCTGTAACCAACTTGTGTTGGGTGGTGGTGGGGGGGCATTGATTGGGGCAGGACAAAGGGGTGTAAGCTGTGAAAGGACAAGGGAGGGTCAGTTTGGTGTTGGGGTCAGTGCAGGGAGCAGAGACCAGCGGGCGTGTTTGCAGGGTGGGGCCCCTGCTAGGACCTGGCAGGAGGTCGGTGCTGGGGTGTGGTGACCTGGGCGATCAGATTGGACAGTGAGGCAGCTCCATTCGTTGGGCGGCGGGCTTGGCTTTGCGCGCGCGTGCTTCCGAAGCAGGCGGTGCGTCGGGCCGCTCCGGGTGGGAGTGAAGACGCTGGCGGCCTCTGGGACAAAAGGGGCTGTCAGGAAGGCAGCGGCAGGCCCTCAGGCTGGGGGAGGAGAAGGAGGAAGGAGAGAAGGGTGAGGCGCCCGGGCCCCGCGGGCACGTGCCGCGCCCTCCCCGGAGCCCGCGCGCACCCACCCCCCGTCGATGCCGGCCTCACCTGAGTCGCCCGTCACGCCGCAGACTGGGCGGCCCCGCGCCCGAGACCCACGGCCGGGCGACCACGGCGGGAGCAGAAGAGCGTCTGGCAGCGCCGATCCGGAGCGGCCCGGGGAGGCCGGGAGGCCGGGAGGCGGGGTCCCGCCGCCACGCCCCCGTCGCGGCGTCCCGCCCCCACCACCTGGGCGAGCCCCGCCCGGTCCCCGCCACCTGGAGGAGCTTCGCTTCCGCAGCCGCGGTGGGGACAGGGGCGTCCGGAACCGCAGCTCCCCGTTTCCTCTCCGCCTCGCGGCCCCTCGGCCGCCCCTCTCTACTTCCGGCGCGGGACCCCCACCTCCTGTCCCCGCACACCTCTCGCGCCTGCAATTGTGGGCCTTCGCGGGGCTGGCCGAGAGTTCCCACCGTGACCTGGCGCCGCCCGGGCCCGGGTCCGGGAGGTCGCACGGTCCGCGCCCCCTCCCCGGCACTCCCCCGCCCGCTCCCTCGCGTCCAATCCGCCGCCGAGTTCCAAGCCACGCCCTGATCCGACCCCGCTCCTCAGCCCGGACCCCAGCCCCTCCTTGGCTTCGCCGGCCGAAAGCTACCGCATGCCTGGCCCCAGCTGACTGTCCACTCGCGCTCAGGTTTCTCGGAATGCCTCCCTTCTCAGCGCTGTTCCCTGCCCGGCCCACGCCTGTGGCAGCCCTGGACTCCCACGTCCCAGAGCACACAGCCCTATTGTCTCGGTTATCTGCACTTTGTTTTAAGTGTTTGATTTCCCAGGACCGCATCGCATGCGGAGCTCTGGGAGGGCCGGCCCGTGTGACTCAGCCCGGTGTCCAGGCACAGCCTCTACCCCCTGTACGTGCTCGGGGGTGTTCTGAGATGAAAATAAGAGGTCTTTGGCTTCTGTGGTCGGTGAAAATGAAGCGGAAGGCTGCTGCCTCACTGACCTCTCCTCTGTCGCCCTTCCCCAGCAAAGAAAGACACTCAAGGATATAAAAGACACAGTTTATTCAGAGGCCACCAGACCCCAGGCACCACCAGGATGCTGAGTCTGGGTTGCCACACCCTCCAAGATCTGGTCATTTGGGATCAGCTAAGGAAGCAGACAGAAATGGGGGAGTGGCCACAACCAAAGTAGCAAAAAGCACCCCTGTCTCAAGGATCCCATGACCTATATTGACCCTGAGTAACCTGTGAACCTGAGTGGCCCTGATGCTTGACATTGACCTGTGTTTTGTAGAGGGTATCCTGGTACCGCCAAAAGGGTTTTAGTTCTCCGCTAGGCCATGTAGTCTTTCCTCATAGGAACTCTCCAGACACCCCAACATTTAACTCCTGGGAAGCTGGGCCCATCTTCTCAGTCCTGGCCTTCTTGATCAGAGCGCTGGAATAGTCAGAAGTGGTCCTCGGCCTCCTCAGTTTGGGGGTCTGGGCAGCAGGTGGCCTGGGGCACAGACTCACTGTGCAGCTTGGAGAGTAGCCGGGCTGTCTCCTGGGTGATCTCAAAATGCTTGGGCAGCGGGGTGCGGCGCAGAGGGCTGTCTTCACGGGTGCTGGCGGCGGGGCTGGGTCCTCGCCTCCGCAGGCTCCCTTGGGACACTGATGTGATGGGGGTCTCCTCGGACAGTTTGGAAGCCACCAGGGCCAAGCCAGACAGCTGGTGGGTGACAGGCCGCACACCTCCCCGGGAATACTTAACTGGCTGGCGGCTGAAGTGGCCACGGGGCTGTGTCCCCAGGGGTGAGTCCTCAGGCCCTTGGTTGGACACTGTGGGATAGGGTGGTCAATGCTAAGCACCCCAAAGTCCTCTGGATGCCACCCTCCATTGTCATCACTAAGTCCAGCAACCCCAGGGCAGGAGCAACCCCAGAACTCTGGGCTAACCTCCAACACACTCACCTTCCCCTCCCTCATTTTTGATGTTTTCGGTTATTTCCTCTTCCTGCTCACTCTGCAGAGTTGAAATCTGTAAGAAGAAACCCAGGAGTGAGACCTCCAGCAATAAAATCCCAGTTCTTGGAGACTCTTGAACCAGCAATAAAATCCTAGTTCTTGGAGACTCCTGAACATGCCAAAACTCCTCTTTGCAGTTTTGTTATTTGGGGAGAGATGATGGCCTTAAGAGTGTACTGCTTGCCCTCCTGAGAAGAGGTGCCATTAATCTCAACTGTGGGCTCTGTAAGGTGGGAATGCCTTTGTTCAGCAGAGGTTGTTGGTAGTTAGTCACTCAGTCATGTCTGACTCTTCGTGACCCCATGGACTATAGCCCACCGGGCTCCTCTGGCCACAGGATTCTCCAGGCAAGAATACCGGAGTGGGTTGCCATTCCCTTCTCCGGGGGATCTTCTCGACCCAGGGATCAAACCCAGGTCTCCCACATTGCAGGCAGCAGAAGACCAGCCTGGAAAGTGACAGCCATCTCTCCATTAGGAAGGGGTGAACTACTGATCTCCATCCTGCTATACTTTCTGCAATTTCAGGCCTACTTTTTTAGCTTATCTGTGTACCTTTTAGTTTGTCCTTTAGCTAAATGCTAATAGCAGCTGGAATCCTCTCTCTGTGTCCTGAGCACTTTCTGAAGTTCTGAGTCCCACACCTCAATAGCAGCCCCTTTCCCAGCTACAGGTGAGAGCCAAGCTCTCAGGAATGGTGAGTATATCAGGACCTGAGGGACAAGAGGACTCCCTTAACAGTCCCATCTATATATGGTTTTCACTAACAGTATGTACCTCTTAGGGCAATTGCTATGTAAGCTACCTGCACTGTAGGTATGCAGTCAGTGGAGGCTTGCACACCCCTCTCTGGCCTCACTTCCTACCACCTTCCCCTCACTCATTCATTACAGCACAGGGCTGTTCCCTGAACACATTAGGCATGGTCCCACCTCAGGGCTTTTGAACTGGCTGTTCCCTTTGCCTGGAACACCCTTTCCCTGATCCCCACCTGGCCCACTCCCCGCTACATCCTTCTAGTTTTTGATCAAACTCATCTTCTTCAGGGGACTCACCCACAGCATCCTATTACTGTTACAAACTGCCCACCACCTCTCACCTTGGTGCCCTTGATGTCTCTGACTTTACCCAACCCTTTCTTCTCTTTATAGTCATCACCTTGTAACATCCTATATAACTCTGTATGACTTTGTATCATATATCTTGTTTATTGTTGGTTTTTCCCTCACTAGAAAGTAGGTTAAAGCGACTTAGCAGCAGCAGCAGCGGAAGGTAGGCAATCAAGAGGGTGGAGTCTGAATATTTTGCTCACTGATATTTATGTAATGCCTAGAACAATGCTTGGCACACAGTAGGTGTTCAATAAATATTCTGTTGAAGGAATCAATAGTATTCATGTTAGGATCTCTGCAAGGCTATACCCTGTTGTTATTTCATTATTTCCCACCTCTCCATTCCTTACTTCTCCTTTCAGGATGAGTGCAGGGTCAATAATAAAGGAGGAAGGGAATGAAATAGACAATTTTAAAGGGGAAGGAAGGAAGGAAGACAGGAGAGAGAATGAGAGGATTACATGGAGAGAAGGCTCTCCCCATGTCTGTGGCCCAGCAGGTTCCTACCTCTGGGAGCGTGGCCTCGGGATGCTTCTCCAGGGCACTAAGGAGCATGGCGTCTGGGTCCTGGTCTGAGGCGAGGGATAAGGGCAGGGGGTCCAGGACAAGTTGTAAGTGTGGTGGCTGGAGGCTGGCTGAGAGGGTCACAGGGGGTGGGCTGGGGTCTCGGGGCAGGGGCTCAGTGGCCAGGAGGAGCTCGTCAGCCCCGAAGATCTGCTCATAGTGCACAATGAGGAACTCGATGAGCTGAGCCTGGTGTGCGGAATCCAGCAGACAGGTGATAGGTCCGGCACCGGCTGGCCCTGGACCATCGGGCAGCCGCAACAGCGTTGGCCCAAATACAATGCCCAGGTTGTTGGCAGACATCTTGTTGTCCTCATACTGTGCAGCCACCCTGGGGACAGCAGGAGCAGAAGGATCAGGGCACAGAGTGTCTGATTACTGGTCACTGGGTAGGACCTACAAGCCAGGCTAGTGGTGACTTGCTCAAGGCATGGGTAAGAGGTCCTGGTCACTGTTTGCAACCAGCAGCCACAAGCCTGGAGGTGGGGGTCAAGGGTCAGCATCCAAAGTCAGGAGTCATGTATTAAGTTTCAGAGCTCAGAAAACACATATGAAGGTCAGGAGTCAGTGTCAGGGGTCAGTGGGCCCATGTCTAAGGAAGGCGCAACAGTCTGAGCCTGAGGTCAGAAGTCACGTGTCAAGATCAAGGACAGTGCACACCTGAAGAGATGGGCCACCAGGTGCCGCAGGGTGTTGTAGTTAGAGTCGGGCAGCTGTGCCAAGAGGGTCTTCAGCGAGCGGATAACCTCAGGGCCGGGGCTGGGGGTCCCAGGGTCGTGCACAGGGTCTGCATGCAGGGTCTTAGCCAGAGAGATGAAGGCATCGTAGAGGTGGAAGGGGACCACGGGGTCAGTGAGCTGGGGGTGGAATGGCAGGGGGGATATGGGTGTGGGTGGGCTGCAGAGGGTCCCCAGCCTGAGCCCATCTGGCCCATGAGTCCCAAGCCACTGAGCACCCACCTCCTGGAGGAATCGCTTGAGAACGCTCGAGACATCATGAGGTGAGTTCCCTGACAGGTCAACCAATGCTCGGCCATTCTCAAAAGCCTGGCACAGCCGTTCCACGCGGACCCTGGACCCGCTGACCCGATAAATGCCCTGCAGGGCAGGGGTGGGAAGTGGACACCCGGCTTGCAGTCTGGCCATTGAGAGGGCTGGGTCACTACTGGGGGTGGTCAAAGGTCAAGGCAGCACCTGCACATTCAGCGCACGCTGTTCTATCTCGGCCGTGCACCTGGTGATCACAAAAGGCACCTCCTCTGGGAAGTCCCTGGGCAGCTGCAGGAAGTTGACCCCAAAGAGGGGAGTCCGGGCTGGTAGCCGCTTATGTCCACAGAGGATCAGCAGAGTCTCGAGGCAGCGCTTGTGGCAGGTCAGAAAGCACTGAGGAAAGGTCACAGGGTCAGGAAGGTCATCAGGGGCCGTGGGGGAGGAGAAGGTCAGAGAGACCCTCAGGGCGCAGGGGGTTCCCAGGGGATCATCAGAGCAGGGCAGGTCTCTCACGGCAAGGTCTTAGGAACCTCAGGTCAGGGAGACGCCTGCGGCCAGAGAGGCCACTGGGGTCAGCAGAGGTCACGGGGTCGCCAGCCCGGGCCGCACCTCCTCGCACTCTGTCCCGCTGACCATGAAAGCCTCACACTCTCGGCACTTGGCTGGGCCCCGCAGCCGCCGCAACCGGTGGGTCTGGGCCGCGTTGGACAGTATCCACTTCTTGAAGGGGGTCCCTGGCCCGTTCTCCAGCCCATCTCCCAGGTCTGCGGGGAGGGAGACAGGGTCAGAAGTGCCTAGTCCATCCCCAGCCCACCTCCACCTGCTTCCAGCCTCACCAGGGTCTCGCTCCTCAAAGTCATCTGAAGACTCGGTGCCTATGGATGACACTTTTACCAGCCGCCTCGTGCCAGAGCCTGGAGTCAGGTTATAGAGGTTGAGGGTCACAGAGGTCATGGGGGAGGCTCCAAGGCTAAGGAGACCTTCCTGGTCTTCAGCCTTCCCAAAGCACCCATGAATGCCCTTGGGGAAAGGGTCAGAGGTCAGGGGGGTCAGACAGGTCAGGGGTTAGGGGCTGAGGAATAGGTCAGTAACCTGGGGGTAGCGGTGGTTCCAAGTTGGATCAAGAGAATGGGTCAGAGGTTGAGAAAATAGGTCAGGGATGCAGGGTAGGTCAGAGGTCAAAGAAAGAGGGTTTGAGTTTGGGGGTCAGAGCCTGGCCAGGGGCCGGAGGATGGTCCCACCTGGACTGGAAGTGGGAGAGTCCTGGGAGCGAGACTCGCTGCCGCCGCCCACGCTGTCCACATCACTGCCCACAGTGGGGCCCAGAGCTGCTAGGGAGGGACAGGTCGGTCAGGCGTGGCCTCCCCAGCACCGCTCCTGCCTACCTTTCACTGTACTCACCCTGCCAGCCTGTGCCTGTGTCCTCCCAAGGGCCTGGCTCAGCTGCACTCTCATCCAGCTGTGGAGGGGGTGCTCCAGAGAGCTTCTTTCTTGTGTCCAGAGGGGAACTGAGAGGAGAAGTTGGAGGGCTCTGATAATCAGGGAGCTGGCCTGGGATTGACATCACCCCGGCATCCCTTTTAAGACCCAACTTCAAGGACTTGGGTCTGCAAGCCCTTATGGCCATGGGCATCATGGCCCCCAGTGCAGTAACCCCAAATTCCCAGCCCTCCCACGACTAGGACAACCCCACCCAAATGCCTGGTGCCGCGTCTCCCTGGCTTCCCATCCGACCCTGCTCCTGGGGACCCACCTGTGCGTGAACTCCTGGAAAGAATAGGCGGCTGGCGGGGGTGGTGGGGGGTAGGGCCCTAGTGCCCTCACAAACTCTTGGTATCGCTGGCCAGGCTCGAAGGGCTTACAGCACTCAGCCAGGGCGGAGAAGGCGCGGGGGCCACGCTCTGCCTGAGCGCCTCGAAGCCCGAACAATCCCAGGGTCACCTGTGGGGCGGAGCCCGCGTGTGAGAGGGGCGGAGCCCGGGAGCCTGGGGCGTGGCCTGCCCCTGCAGCTGGGCTAGGGGGTGTGATCAGAACCCGGGTGGGTCAACCTCGGGGCAGGACCCCTTGAGTGGGGCCGAGAAAGGAAGTGCTGGCAGGGTCTGGGGGCGGGAACTGGCTGTCCAGAGAGACGGAGCGAGTCCTGGTGCCCCGGAGGCGGTCTAGGGGCAGGTGGGGCCCAGCGGTGCTAATGAGCGTGGCGGGCAGCGGTCGGGTTAGGGTCTCACCCGCCGCAGCACTTCGTCCCCCTGCAGCACCAGTTTGCGCACGTGGGACACGATCCGCTGCTTGGCGGCCTCCAGTTCCTGTTGCCGCGCGTTGGCCTCTCTGACGCAGGCCTGGTACAGCGCTTCGGCCTCCTGCGCCTGGAGAAACCGAGGCAGGGAGCGTGTATGGGAGAGATGCGTGGGGCTGGGGGTGCCGAAGTGCAGTGGGGCACGGGGCGGAGTCCCCACCTTGGCCTGGGCCTCTTCTCGAGAGCGTCGCCGCCGTTCCTGCTGTTTGTTGGGGCCCGGTGAGGCCTGGAGAGCCAGATCTTCGGGCGACACCTGGGAGCGCACCCGCAGCTCCTCGCTGCGCTGCATGTAGTGGAGTTGGGCCCGCCGCAGCGCCTGCACCGCCTCGTTCTAGGGGCGGAAGAGGGACGGGTCTTCAGGCTTCTTCATCTCCTCCCCCAGCCCGCTTTCCCAGCTTGCAGCCCTAGGCCTCACCATTCGCTTCTGCTCTTTCATCCACTGCTCCTTGAACTCCTTCCGCCACTTCTCAATCTCAGTCCGTTTGGCAGCCAAGGGCTGGGAAGGATGGGGAATGAGGAACGCTGCCCGGGTTGCTTGGTCATCCCATTTACCCGGGCCACGTGGCTTTCACGCGCTGGACCCTTTTCTCCATCAGCACTCTCTCCTGGGTCTTCTCCCCCAGATTTGCCCTGCCCCACCCCGGTGGCCTCTCCGCAGAGTCTCGGTGGTCACCTCCATCCTTTGGGTCTGGAGCTGGGGATGCCAAGGCTCTCTTCCTTAGTACACTGGGCATCTTACCCCATGGCCCGCAGACAAACAAAAGCACAGTTTTGCAATCGCACAGGAAGCCTGGTTTGAATCTCTGCTGGGTAACCTTGGGCAAGTTGTGCAGCATCCCTGGTCTCTGCTTCCTCATCAGCAAATGGTGCTGATGGTAATGATGCCTCCCCAGATGCTTGTAGAGAAATAATGCATGAAGGGCCCCCTCACCTGGTAGTAATCTCTTTTCTGCTGGGTCAGTGTCTCCATGGCCAGGCTTCCTAGGCTGAGGTCGTGCTCCAGAAACAGGAGGTAGATATACTGCAGTGACATGTGGCTCTGCGGGCGGGGAGAGGCAGCTGGTGTTAGAGGATGCTGAGGATCTAGGGGGCGTCCAGCTGGGATTCTGAAGGGGTTGGGCTCTGGGGCCAGTTCTGCTCAGGGCTACCTGCTGCTGGATTGACACCTTGCCAGCCTCGGCAATCTTCATGATGTTTTTGGCAAACTCCAGCTCTGGGGGTAGACGGCAGGGGTGTGAGTCAGGCAGGGTGTGAGCACTGCAGGGCCCAGGGCAGGGCCTGGGGCTGGGCCTGAGGAGCCCTCACCATAACTGGCTCTCTTCTCGGTCCAGGCGAGCAGCTCCTTGACGTAGCGGCTCCAGGTCTTGGCGTAATCCAGAGCTGCATCCACGCCGCCCTTGGTTCTGATGAGCTGCAAGTCCAGCTCCTCCCCTGGGGCAGGTGGGTGGACCTCTGAAACTTCCCTGAGCCCTCAGACCAGACCAGTGAACCCTGTTTACATCCTATGGCTTCTCCTTATCTAGGTTGCGACCTTACACTGATTCTCCACTGAGACTGGGGCTCCCTGGGGACACGGGTTCGCGTCTGTTGGGGGCACTGCCACGTCCCTGAGCACGGGACAGGCTGTTGGTGATGGAGGACTCGTTTCTGCCCCCATGCTTCTGGCCCCAGAGCCCCTACCTGTAAGGGGTGCAGGATCCTCTGGGGAGGGGCCACTCCAGTGGCTGGTCTCACTGGCCTGAGGGGTGGGGGGAGACAGCATTCAGGAACATGCAGTGCAAGCGCCTGCACCTTCCTCAGTCTCTCCTCTGAGGCCCCCTTCTCCCTGTCCCCTGGGTCCCGTCTCTCACCAGAGTGGCTGTGGGGTTCTTGTCAGGTTCCGGGTCTCCTGAAATCACAGTGTCTCCAGCCAGCATCTCAAGAGTCCTGGGAGGTCAGGGAATCAGGATGCCACCCTCCACCGAGTCTGTCCCACCTAGGGTCTGGGGACCCCAGGGCAGTTTGGGGATGGTCCTAGATATCACCTCTGTGACATCTGTCGCATCTGGGGGTCCTGAGGGATAGGACTTTAGGGAGGGAAGTGAGCTGCTTTTTTAAAGAAATTTAAGATAGAATTTGAAGGATCCTGGGTAACTCTGGGGTTTAGAGCAGGATTATAAAGTTCTCCAATGTTTTAAGGGATCACAAGGGTCACAAGAAGGATACGTGGGGCCCCTAGGATCACGCTAGGGGTTGCCGGTGGATTTAGGGGGTTGAATTTGGGGATATTCAGGTGTGTTGAGTGCCCTCGCTTAGGCTTCTTGCGTTATTAGGTCAGTGCCTCCAGAAGTTGCAGGGTCCTAAAGGGGCTTTGGGCATCTAAACGGCCAGGGATTTAGGGATCCTGGCAGGATTTGGGGTGACTCAGGCTCAGACTCACACGCTCCCCAGGGAGATTTCGAGGTTGTCCAGGCTCCGGAAGATGTCACTGTACCTCTTCCTGCTCTCAGGAGCCGGGGGTAACCCTTGGAGAAGGGAGTATCACACATGGGCAAACAGAAGCCTCTCTCCACCCACCACACCTTGGCAGGTTGTTTGGAGGGTGAGGATGGTGAGTGGGGGTGAGGTGGGGGGATGGAGGGAAAGAGAAAGAGAGAGAGAGTTCTGGTCTCATGGGGAGTGCAGGGTGTTTGAGCTGGTATGGCGGGAGTGTGGGCTTGGGTGGGACCTGACTCAGGACAGGCAGATGAACTCAGGCACAACCCAGCACAGAGACCGCTGCTTGGAGAAGCAGAGACACCCACACATGCATGGGCCTAGAAGCAAAGTGACAAAACAGATGTCCTAGATACAGCCACACTGTCTCCAGGGACAGAGACAGCTTGACAATGGAACCACATGGACCTCAGGCCAGACAGATGGAAATACACGTGGGATAGACCAGCACAGGGCCTGCGGCAGAAACACAGACGGGCAGATTGAAACCCGGAGCGGCGTAAAGACCAAATGACACTCAATATGCAAATCAGAGACACAAAGACTGGCGGAAACAAAGTCGGACCTCGCCACGTTTCTGCTGCAGGCACCCCCTTCTAGGGGGCGCAGATCAGCATGTTGCCCTCCCTGGGCAATGGAGTGGCCGGGTGGGGATCCTGCCGCGGTGCCCTCTCCATCAGCAGTCGTGACACCCTGCCCCCATCACAGATATCAGAAGCAGAAGCGGCCACTTCCCCTTCCTGGGCCCCCTCCCCCAGACATCCGGGTGAACTCCTAAGGGGGAGGGGGTCAGGGGCTGGTGTCCCGGGCCCCCTCTCAGCTTGGGAGTCCCCACAGTGGAGGATTCCCGCGTCCTCCCCATTCAGGAACTCCTCTCCCAGCTCTCTGGACAGGTAGGAACAGGCGGGGACCCTCACTGATTCAGGAAGTAGGATACGGTCGGGAGAGGCCCCTCGAGGATCACGAGTCCCGGACCGCCTACCCGGCTCCGTTGAGTCCATGCTCCGGCCCTAGGGTCGCTCGGCTAGGAAGGAATCGCGCGCCGGCGCCGCCGGGGCCCAGCCCCGGTTTCCTGCCTCCGCCGCCGCTGCCGGGGTTCCGCGCGGCCCCGCCTCAGAAGGCCCCGCCCCCAGCCACGCCCCTGCTGGTAGGCCACACCCTCCAGGCGAAGACACAGACCACGCCCCCTGCCGGAGTGGCCGGGGGGTGCACTCAGGACCTCCTGAGTGACCGGCCGAAACACCATCCCGGCCAGGGTTTCCTCTTCCCAGATCTTTGTGGGCCCCCTAACCTTAGCATACTCCCGTTACAGTGAGCCCACACAGTCTGCCTGGCCAGAGGAGCCTGTCCCAAATGTTTCCCGTTCTACGACCCAGGGACACCCCTGCCCATAAGTCTCTTGGAACTCTGAACCCATCCTAAACTGGCTGGGGCAATGGGAGCCCCCTGGTGGTGGTCTGATGTTCTGCCCCATTCCGGTTGAATTTGAAGTCCCTGAAAGCTGAATAACGAAGAACTGACGCTTTTAAAACCGTGGTGTTGAAGACTCTCGAGAGTCCCTTGGACTGCGAGGAGATCAAACCAGTCGATCCTAAAGGAAATCAGTCCTGAATATTCATTGGAAGGACTGATGCAGAAACCCCAATACTTTGGCCACCTGATGCGAAGAACTGATTCACTGGAAAAGACCCTGTTGCTCGGAAAGATTGAAGGTGAGAGGTGAAGGGGACGACAGAGGATGAGATGGTTGGATGGCATCACTGACTTGAGGGACGAGTCTGAGCAAGCTCCGGGAGTTGGTGATGGACAGGGAAGCCTGGTGTGCTGCAGCCCATGGGGTCACAAACCGAGTTGGACACAACTTGAGCGACTGAATTTTGGGGGACAGGTTGGGACCGGTTGAGGGATCGGTTTTCTGGAAGACGATTTTTCCATGAATTGGGGGGGCTGGAGCAGGGGTATGGTTTCAGGATGATTGGAGAGCATTACATTTATTGAGCACTTTATTTCATTATTACATTGTGATACATAATGAAATAATTATACAACTCATCATGATGCAAATCAATGGGAGCCCCGAGCTTGTTTTCCTGCAACTGCATGGTCCCATCCGGGGGTGATGGGAGATACTGACACCTGAAGTGCGTTGCTTATGTCCAGTCTACTCTGGAATCTCATTTGGTTGCTGTCACTGCAGAAAACCCTGCTTCACAAAGATGAGATAGAACGGAAATGGAAATGGAAGCAGGTTTTTCAGTGCTTTTGTGGCAATCGCAGGATATTCTGCTTTGACTTTAATCTAGAACACGTGTGTGTGCTAAGTCATTTCAGTTGTGTCGGACCTTATGGACTATAGACCACCAGGCTCCTTTGTCCATGGGATCCTCCAGGCAAGAAGACTGGAGTGGGTTGCCAAGCCCTCCTCCAGAGGATCTTCCTGACCCAGAGATGGAACTGATGCCTCTTATGTCTGCTGCATTGGAGGCAGGTTCTTTACTACCAGCGCCACCATGCCTGCAAGTGTTAGTTGCTCAGTTGTGTCTGACTCTTTGCGACCTCATGGACTAGTGCACCAGGCTCCTCAGTCCATGGAATTTCCAGGCAAGAATACTGGAGTGGATTGCCATTCCTTTCTCCAGGGGGTCTTCCTGATCCAGGGATCAGATTCTTTACCATCTGAGCCACCAGGAAAGTCCATCCAGAACATACAGAAATTTGAAATTATCTCAAACATACTTTTAAGGCCACCGTCATTTTTGATCTCAAGCAGTTAATCCTTTTCTAGCATTAGAAAAGTCAAATTCTATTTGACAAAGTCAGTTCACCTGGCTTTTTCACAAATGGGTTGAGGATCCATTCCTTCCCAATTTGGGGGTCTTCTGTGGTTGGGAAGTATTGCTCAAACTCTTGAAAGCTGCAAGGCGATCATTCATCAGCTGGGAGAAAGTAGGCCCTGGCTCAGTCCCTTTCAAAATCTCTGCTAACGTTTGAAACATGTCAGAAATCCCCAGTGTTCACTCGTTGCCCCCATAATTCTGGTGTGGGTTTGAATGCAGCCGCTTTATCTGCTGACCTGAACACAGTTGTTTGCCCCTAAAGTGACAGATTGAGTTTGCTGAGCAGGTTAAAGATGTCACACAAATAAGCAAATTTTGCAACCCATTCTGCCACTGAAACATGCTTCCAGTGGTGACTGTTCTTCTAAAAGAAATCTCTAGAGTGGCTCTCATAACTCAAAAACTCTGGCTATGGATCTCCTTTTACATACTTTATTTTTATTTATTATTTTTGGCTGTGTTGGGTCTTGGTTGCTTTGTGCGGGCTTTCTCTTGTGGCGGCGAGCAGGGACTGCTCTTGACTGCAGTGTACGGGCTTCTCATTGCGGAGCACAGGCTCTAGGCGCGCGGCTTACAGCAGTTGCAGCTGAGGTCTCAGTTTAATTGTGGTGCATGTGCTCAGCTGCTCCTTGGCATGTGGAGTCTTCCTGGACTAGGGATCGAACCCATGTCCCCTGCATTAGGTGGGTTCCTATCCACGGCACAACCAGGCAAGTCTCAGTGATCTGCCATCAGAAAGCATCTCACGTCTGTGTAAGAGAGGCTTGTGCTGTCTCTCTCTTCATAGAGCTGCTCGAACAGATGTGAGCTAAGGGCATGGACTTTAATGTGGTTGATAATTTTAATCATATCATACAAAATGTTAAGTTCAGGTGACATTTTTCGGCTAGCATCATTTCTTTATGGATGACACAGCGTGTAGACTCTCACTCAGAAGTGACCTCTTTGACCCATGCAGTGAAACCAGAAAGCCTTTTGGACACGGCAGCCCTTCAGTCCATGCACATGCCGACACAGTGACTTGGTACATAATCACTCAGAGACTTGGGGTGCTGGTTGGCAACGAAAGTGCAGGTAACACGTTCTCATGCAAAATAAAAGGCACAAGAACAAACATTGATGCCTTGTCACACTGGTAGATTAGTCAACCTGGATTGCGTACCATGTGGATTTGTTAACCCTAACAATTGCGGCTCAACATTCTCTATTTCATCAGTTAGTTATGAAAGTGAAAAGTGAAAGAGCCAGTCAGTCGTGTCTGACTCTTTATGAACCCATGGACTGTAGTCTGCCAGGCTCCTCTGTCCATGGAATTCTCCAGGCAAGAATCCTGGAGTGGGTTGCCATTCATTCCCTTCTGCAGGGATCTCCTTGTCCCAGGGATGGAACCTGGGTCTCCTGCATTGCAGGTGGATTCTTTACTGTCTGAGCCGCCAGGGAAGCTTAATTATGGTATCCTCTAGTTATGGCACTAGCCAAAAAAGGAACACATGCCACCTTTTGAACTGCAGCCTCTCCTAAAAGTTCATGACAAATGTCCTCAGCAGCAGGATCAACTCTTCACCAACAGTAAAGGGCTTAGCTTTAGCAAGAGGGTTAGCCACTAAGAATGAGGTTTGCCGTTCAGACACATTTAAGAAGTGGTGGCCTTCAATAATTGCTTCAGTTCACTTTTTTTTCTTTTGAAAAACTCCAAAGGCTTGTCTTCTAACGCAGGGTGCTTGGTCTCCATGTGGCAAAGCAGTTTTGAAGGCTCCATGGCTTTGTTGGATAGCCAGTTGCCCGTATTATACAACACAGTTTTAGAGAGTGTGAACCACCTAATATAATAAACCCATAACTTAACTATGCTAGGACTCTTGGTTGCTGTTTAGTTGCTAAGGTGTGTCTGACTCTTTTGTGACCCCATGGACTGTAGCCCACCAGGCTCCTCTGTCCATGGGATTTCCCAGGTAAGAATACTGGAGTGGGTTGCCATTTCCTTCTTCAGGGTATCTTTCCAAACTAGAACTCTTGGTATTTTCTTTCAAATGCATTTTTTTGGGGGGGGGGGGGGCAGTCTTGGAGTCTTCTGCTGTCTCACCGCTGGGCCTTTCCTCCCTTACAAAGAAGCCCTCCAACGACATTTGTTTTTACACATTTTGGCTAGGGTCAGCTTGAGGGCTTATCAAAACTGTAACCGAGACAAGTGTGCAGTTTGGGAAAGAGGCGTGGACGGAAGTAGTGGTAAATAAAATGGGCAGGCCACACATAGACTAAAACAAAGTGTCGGATTCTGACAGCCTGGATCTGCAGCTGCTTCCTGTGCTAGCATTGCCGCCTCAGCTCCACCTCAGACCACCAGGTATGAGATTCCTGTAAGGAGCACGCAACCTAGGGATCTAGGTTTGAATCCTTGCATGCGCGGCTCATGATGCTCTGAGAATCTAATGCTGCCACTGATCTGACAGGAGGAGCTTAGGTGGTAATGCAAGAGATGGGGAGCGGCTGTAAACACAGATGAAGCTTCGCTTGCCCACCTGCCGCTCACTCCCTGCTGAGCAGCCGGTTCCTGAGGCCCAGGGCCTGGAGACCTCTGCCCTAACCTGCTGGGAACCCCCGGGAGGCTGCATCAGGGCTGAGGGCCCATTCTCAGGCAGTCAGAGCACCCCTCGGACTCTCATGCACGGAGGGTACAAGGAGCCTTGCTCTGAGCCCATCGAGAACCGTGCCCAGCAAACTCCCCTGTCCAGAAAGCTCCCCTCCCCATTTGAGTGCCTCAAATGGCCTCAGGGATCCCCTGCTGGATGGGGCCTGGCACCTCCGTTGTAGTTCACTCGCTAACTGGTGTCCGGCTCTGCGACGCCATAGACTGGGAGATGGGCAGAGAAACAGCAGGCACCTCTTCCCCTCTGGAAACCCTGGCCAGTGTCCAGGGCCCATGTGATGCTCACAGCCGGTCCCAGCCCCTTCCTTGCTCTGGCTTCCAGGGCTCTCGGTGGGCTGTGGGCCACGCTCCCTCTGATGGAGAAGCCTGTTGGGTGGGTTGCTGAGGATGACCATGAGGCAGGGGCAGAACAGGGTAGAGTTCCTCACTGAGGCGGGGAGAGGAAGGAAGCTGTCCGGAAGCCTGGGCTCGGGTTCC